GGACGTCACCGACGGCGCGGCGCCCGCGCGGCGCCCGGGCGCGGGGTGGGTGACGGCGACGCCATCGCGATGGCGTGGACGTGGGAACGAAAACCCGTCCGTTCGCGCGCGCGCGTGTCGATCGGTCGGTCGACGCACGCGCGAAAAATCCACCCTCGACGTATTTTGATTGGTCGATGAAAAAAATAAAAATCGACCCCACCCACGCCTCGACGAGGCGTCGATCGGTCGGTCGAACGCACGAAATCACCCTCGCCGAAACCTCGACGAGGCGTCGACGATGGAAAGACTCGGCGCTTGCCTCTCTTCAAAGGGCTCTACATATGGAGAATGATAGTACACACGGGAGTCATCGAGCGGCGTTCGTGCAGGCGCGCCGCGGGCTGGTCGAATAGGCTTGGGAGGTACCGGAATAGGGGTCAAGCTCGACCCCTAGGACTGCGCCTTTTGACACGGACAGCCGCCCGTCGATCACTCGATCGATCGGTGAAAGAAACGTACAAAATCACCCCCGCTCACAAACCTCGGCGGTATTACGATGTACGTCGATCGGTCGATCACATCGCCCTCGCCGAGACCTCGACGAGGCGTCGATCGATCGGTCGAAACGCGCAAAAAATCCACCCTCGACGAGGCGTCGATCGGTTCGTGGAGACGAAAAAAAAAATCGCCCCGCCACACCTCGGCGGCGCGCGCTCGACGTCGCGACGATCGACGCGCGCGCTCGTGCGCATCGACGCGCGCGGACGACGCCGACGATGCCGGGCGCGGTGTTGATGTCCGCGGGCGTCGATGCGCGTTCGGTGCGAGCGGCGATCGCCCGGGCGATGGCGCCGCGACGGCGTCGAATGGGGATGGTGATGAATGCGCGACGGCGCGACGCGGGCGCGGCGCGCGAAGGGCGCGCGTGGAGACGCGCTCGCGTGGACGCGCGGTGGACGAGAGATGGCGTGCGTAGGACGCGGATGCCGGGGCGCGCGCGCGCGGTGCGCGGCGTCGAGGGGGGGTCGGGGGCGGGCGACGGCGTCGACGCGGCGGAGCTGTGGCGACGCGCGGCGAAGATACCGATGTACTCCGTGGCGTGGATCCCGATCGCGTGCGCGGCGTCGTTGGTTTTTTGTCAGTACGGGAAAGTGGATGTGAAGCACCTCGGTGCGCTCGCGTTGGGGGCGACCGCGGTCGTGGCGTGGTTGAATCTGTCGAACGACGCGTTCGACGCGACGACGAACGTGGACGCGAGGAAACCGGAGAGCGTGGTGGCGTTGTTGGGGGGGAACGCGTCGATCGTGCACGCGATGGCCGTCGTGGCGTTGGTGAGCGGGTGTGGGTTGCTCTGGGGCGCCGCGCGAGGCGCCAGCGGCGTGGCGTGGAAGGCGCTCGCGGCGGCGATAGCCATGGGGTACGCCTATCAAGGTCCGCCGTTTAGATTATCGTACAAGGGGCTCGGTGAACCGATCTGTTTCTTGGCGTTCGGACCGTTGGCGACGACGGCGTTTTACCTCATGATGAGCTCGCGCGTCGCCGCGGCGACGAGCGCGGTGCCGGCGATCGTGTGGTCGTGCGGCGTCTTGATTGGTCTCACGACGGCTTTCATCTTGTTCACCTCGCACTTTCACCAAGAAGAGGGCGATCGCGCCGCCGGTAAGCTGAGCCCGGTCGTGCGCATGGGTTTGCCCGGCGCCTTGCTCGTCGCCGACAACCTCATCGGCGCCCACTACGCCACCGTGGCCACGCTCGCCGCCGCGGGCTGGCTCCCGTACACCGCCGTTTTCGGCCTCATCATCACCTACCCTCTCGCCCGCCACATCGTCGACCAAGCGCAGAGCACGGCGGACGCCGGAGCAATTTCTGACTTGTTCTTCACAAAGTACCTCGCCGTGCGCTTCCACGTCATCCACGGCCTCGCCTTGGCCCTCGGCGTGTGCGCGCAGCGCGCGTACCTCAACCCAAACCTCTTCTTCCCAGCCTAGATCGACCGCTCCGGCGAGAACCCAGAGCGTAGATCGAGCGCTCCCACGAAAACTTTGCCCGTTGATTATAATTTTAACACGTGTTTACGTTGACCTATTTTCGTCCACACGCGCGTCTCGCCCGCCCCCAGAGCGCGCCTCGCGCCGGTCAATCACCCCAATCATGCTCCGGAACCTGTGCTGCTGCGTCTTCACCTCCCGCTCGCGCGATGACTCCGACCAAGACTCATCGCTCGATCTCTACGACGAAGCGCCGCCGCAGAATCACGCGCGCGACGGCGAACGAGGCCGATTCGTCCTTGGAAATCATCAACGCGGAGGCGCCGCGAGCGGGCGGAGCGGACGGAATCCATCGCTCTTGAGCGATTCGCATCGAAGCGATGGGGTACACGAGGGCGATGATGATCTGGACGAGCACAGGCGCTCGCACGAGCGGTGCGTGAGCGCACCACCGAGAGATTTAGGGGCGTTTTACGCGATTGATGGAGAAGATGACGACGCGGGGGCGTTTGAGAAGGCGACGGAGAAAGAGATGGCGCGCGCGAAAGCGGCGGACTCGTCTGAGGTCACGCGAAACGGAAATGGAAGGCATCGACGGGCGCGGAGCGTCGTGAGCGCGGACGTGGACGAGACGGCTGTGATCGAGGTGATGAAGAGGGAGTTCGCTCGGTTGAAGTCGCTCGAGCGGGCGCCGTCGACGCGGACGAGCAAGATGGAGAGCGACGATTACGACGACACGTGTCCGACGTGCTTCGACGGATACGAGGAGGAGAATCCACGGATGACGCTGAGGTGTGGGCACCACTTCCACCTGGCGTGCATCTTGGAGTGGCAGGAGTACCTGGCCGCGCACGGCCGCGAGGACACGTGTCCGTGCTGCGATAGGCCCATCGAGACCGAGGTGTGGATGGATTAGCGCTCGCTCTCGAGCGCGGTGCACGCGCATCGTGTGACTTTACTTGCATTGTCAATGATTTAAAACTGTACAGCACTACCGATACAATACGTCGTCAACGTCACACGCGCGCCGCGACGCGACTTCGCGCCTTGTAGATATTCTCCGCGATTTTCTCCTTGACGGTGAACATGAGCGCCGCGGCCAGGATGGTTTGCGTGAGTTTCGTCTCGATACCTTTGTAAAATACCCCCAACCCCTCTTCCTCGGCCATGGAACGAATCGCGTGCACGGCGCCGCGGTATCGCATGCGGTCGTCCGCCATATCCTTGGACACGACTTGCAGACGCGTCTTCACCACCAACAACGGATACGTCAGCATCGTCGCCCCGAACTTCGCCGTGGCCCCCAAGGCGAAAATTTCCAGCGCGCTCAGGCTCTTCTTCCGCGTTTGTCGCATCCGCCACTGCGCGGCGGATTCGTAAAACGCGTACTGCAGCGCCGGATTCGCAACCATGACCAGAGACGGCGTTAAGCCCTGCCAAAACCCCCGCACACCGCTCTCTCGCATCACGTCTCGAGCGACGTCGAAGAATCCACGTCGAGCTCCCTCCTTCTCCCGCCTTCGCTCCCGTCTGCGCGTCGTCACGGCGTCGTCGACGTCCGCCCGCGTCTCCGCCTCGTCCCCGTCGTCGTTCTCCGTCCGCTCCCTCGCCATCTTCACGTCCGCCTGCATCTTCGTCACCAGCGTCCATATCGGCAGCGTCATCAGCACGTTCAGAATCCCAGCTCCGCTCGCGATCATCAACGACGACGCGCCATCCGCGTCCCGTCCCGTCGCCGCCGCGCGCGCCCGCGCGCCTCTCGCGTAAAAGTAGTTGTACACCGTCTGCGACGCCACCGTGCCCACGAGCGCGGGTTCGATGCCGTCGTACATGGACTTTACGTCCGCGCGTCTCCACCGCTCTCGTGCATCGCCGCGAGCGGCGTCGGTGTCGGTCGTCGCGTCGCCCCCGCGCCGCGCCACGTGTTGCCTGGTGTTCAACGTGATGAGTGGATACGTCGCGACGAGCGCGCACATCGCGCCGATCGCACCCGCGGCGGCCTCGACGACGTCATCTTTGGCGAACGTGGACATGGGCGCGCGTTCGGGCGCGTGAGCGACGAGAAGTGCGGCGCGGGACGTCCGGGGCGACGGCGACCGGGACGGCGCGGCGCGCGCGACTCGAGCGCGCGCGCGTCGACGTCGAAGACGTCGACGACGATCTACGTTCGATGATGATGATTACAATCGCGTCATCGATGATGATGACGGCGACGGGGCGATGAGCGCGAGAGCGAGTCGTCGCTCGAAGCGCTCTCGAGCGAGCGCGAGAGCGAGCGGTCGCGTCGGCGTCGACCGCCGCCGCCGCCTCGACCGCGACCGCGACCGCGACCGCGTCGATCGTCCGGGTCCGAGTCGTCGTCATCACTCGAGTATCTCAATCGACGATCGCGGCGACGATCGATCGCGTCTCGATCGCCGTCGCGTCCGTCGCTCGCCCGCGGCGGCGTCCGCGAGCGAGACCGCCTTCGCCGCGGCGACGTCGACGCGCGTCGTCGGTCGCGCCACCCCTCCCGTCGATCGCGCCGATCGATCGATCGATCACGTCCTCGCGCGCGTTCGTCCCGATCGTTCCCTCGTCGTCGCTTTACCCCATCTCTCCCGTCGTCTCCGTCCCGCGACGCCGACCGTCGGCGCGCGCGTCCGCCCATCCCTCTTCGTCCCGCGTGCGCGCCCTCGAACCCCCCGCGCGCACCACCGAGACCCCGACGACGACCAGCGTCATCGTATCCATGTCCCGTCCAGCGCCTCGATCTCGTTCGTTCATCCGCGAGCGAGGCGTCGTCGCCGTCGTCCGCCGAAGCGCATCGCACGCGCGCGCCGTCGATCTCCCCACCGTCCATCGCTCGAATCGCCGCCGCCGCGTCGTTTGCCGTCGTGAACACCACCTCTGCCTCGTACGCGCGGTCGTCGTTCGTCCGCGCGCGGTGTCCAGACGCCTCGGCGCGCACGCGCACGGATTTCACGCGAATCGTCCCAGAGGTGAAGATTTCCTTCACGTGCGTCGCGCTCGCGCGCGCGGGGAGCCCCGTGACGCGCACGCGCGTCGCCATCGCCCTCGCCGTCGCCGTCGTCGATCGCGCCGTGGCGGTGACGCGGGGAGTGAGGATTCATTCGACATCACGTCTCGGCACATTCGCGCGCGAGCGATGATCCCCGACGACGTCGACGTCTACGCCCGCGCGTCGTCGTCGCCCGCGATGTCGGACTCGGACAGCGACGACGACGCGCGGTTCGCCCTGTTCGCGGGCGCGGAGGCGATTTCGCGCGAGGTGGAGGCGCGACGGTCGAATGTGTTTTTAAAACGAAATTTGAGCTACGTCGCGCGCGCGTCGACGACGACGGCGACGGTGGACGGGACGACGGCGACGGTGGACGGCGGCGACGGTGTCCGGGGGGTGCGGACGCGGTACGCGTACGAGGGATGTCCGAGGGCGGGACGGATGACGCGCGGATATCGATGCGGACAGTGCGCGACGACGTGCGCGACGTTCCGGGGGCTCATGACCCATCTGCGGGCGTCGCACGATTTACTTCGGTACGAGGGCGTGCGGGTTGGGGAGGAGGTGACGATCACGATGCGACCGCGACGGGTGAATTTCGATGACAATGGAATGTTCACGCCGAGGAGCGCGGAGGAGACGCGGAGTCCGAACGATAAGGAGTTCGTCTTCGTGCGAGATCGTCGAGGGCGGGGGGGGAAGGGTGCGATGGAGCGGAAGTATGTGTTTCGCGAACGCGTGTCGAGGGCGGAGCTGGAGCGGACGTACGGGGGGAATCTGTTGAAGGAGGTGCCGCGCGGGGCGGTTTGGCGAGACGTCGAGCGCGCGGATGGATACGACAAGGCCAAGGAGGATGGACGGAGGACTGCGGCTGCTGAGGAGCGCAGGCGCGTGGCGGCGCTGCCGTTTAAGCCGACGGTGTGCAAGAAGAGGGTGACGATGGAGGAATCGCTGCCGAATTCCAAGCCGAGACTACCGGCGCCGAGTCGACCGCTCGGACCGTTTTACAACTCGCGCGCCTTCATCAAGATGTCCGCCGTCCCGGATGTAGACTCGGACGACGAGATCGTCACTCCGGCGCAAATCATCGAGGACAGACGCGTGTTGAACGATTTCGTCGATTTCAGCCGAGAGGAGATCGATTTCATGGAGGCTTGGAACGAGGTGGCGATGCGCTTTCGCGCCCTGGCGGATTACGAAGCCCCGGCGCTTTGCGAAGCCTTTGTGCGCGTGCACTACGAAAAGCTCAGAGCGAACCCGGCCTTCTTCAAGCTCTTCACCATCACCCTATTTGCCATGCACGAGAACGGTATCATCAACAGACGAGCCGTCGTAGACGTGTTGACCCTGTGCGACAAAATCAACGATCCGCGCTGGCGAAATCTCGCCATGAGCTCCGCCGCGCGCGAGACAGAATCGTGCCCCATAGCCGTCTTCGACGAGTTCCCAAAGTTTGCGACGACGCTGAATGACCTTAGATACTGACTTAGCCACTAGAAATTTCTACTACTTGTACTACAAATCACTCAGACGACGGTACCGGTACCGTAACGTGCGTTCACATCGTCACGCGCTCTCGATTTCGCCCAACGCCGCGCCCGCCTCCACATCCAACAGACTCGGCGCCTTCCAACGCCTTCGCTCATACAGCGGCGTCTCATTCATCTTCACATCGTTTCCACTCCACTCACCGCTCGATTTCGATCCACTCTCCCTGTTCCTTCCTTCTCTCCTCGCGACGCCGTCCCGCGCCGCCGCCTTCGTCTCGTCATCCTCGTCTACACACCGCAACCGTCTCCGAGCGTCTCGCGCGACGATCTCGCACGACGCGATCACCGTCGGGTGCGCGTGCGCGATTCCTTCGAGCGCTTTCGCGCTACACGTCACGCGCACGGCGCCAAGAGCGCGATCTCTGAGCGTGTGCGCCATCGCGAGCGAAACATCCATCGTCGCGTTCGTTTTGTCGCGGCGTGCGTGCACGGCGCGCGCGCGCGTCGTTTGCGTGCGTGCGTGTGCGTGGGAGGTGGACGGGGGATGCGGTGCAGGGAGCGCGCGCGGGTCTACTCGAGAGGCGCGCGGCGCGTAGTGCGGCGCGAGCGGCGAAGGCGCGTAGTTGACCAAGCGGCGCGGAGATCGAGACGTCGGGAGAGAAGACGAGGGAAACGGAGCGTGGATGCGTGATACCGAGGATTCGTGACGACGCGTGTCGCGATCGAGGGCGCGAACGGACGATTAAACGAAATCTATCTCTCCCGATTTCAATGTGTCTATGACGGACGCAGAGGCGAATCGCGGCCGACGTATCTAGTTGGCAACGGCCGCTGCGGTGGCGGCGTTGTGGTGCTTCTTGCTCAGCTTACGCTGGTAGAACTCAAGCTCCTTACCCTCCAAGATGTAACCGTCGCAGCGTCCGCACTGACCCGGGCGAGACGTGACAATGGCCAAGAGACGACCCGTGGAGAACTGCGCGTCAATGGCACTCTCGACGGCGTGATCTCTGTTGCGTCGGCGCAACTTCATGGTCACCGACTTGGATCGCTTCTCATCAATGTCCTCTTCCTCAACCTTCGCACCGTTCTTAACCTTGATGCCGATCTTCTTGCCGTAGTGCTGGGCGTACCACGCGCGGAACGGCGCGGCGTCGACCGCCACGACGGCGCTCTTCACGAGCGTCTTCGTGCGCACGAGTTCGTTGTTCGACGCGTTGTACACGACATCCAAGATACGCGTCTTACGCGTGCAGTTTTCGGAACCCCAAGAGTAGTTACCGGTATCGAGGCGCAACGCGCGGTGCTTCACGTTGCCGCCTCGGCAGCGCACCTGGCGCACGGTGACGTTGGAGGAGAGCTTCGTGTTCGCCGGCTGACGGCCGAGCTCGTACCTGAGTGAATCGAAAACAGGTAACAACACCGTCAGTCACTGTATCGCGACGTTTACATCACCCAATATCCCTCGCATCGAGCTCGAAGGACGACGCATCGCCGTTCGCGCGAAAGCCCTAGGGCTTGCATCGACCGCCGCTCTCGTCGTCCTCGCGTTCCTCTCTCGCCCTCCCCGCTCGTTCGCGATCGCGTCCGATGCACACAAAATAACACGTACTTTCTCTTCTTTCTCCACGGCTTCTGCTTGCCACCGGTGGCACGGCGCTTGTGCAGGGAGTCTCGAGAGATGCCTACGTTGGCGTCGAGCGGCGCGCGCCATCACGGGTCAGTCTCTGTGTCGTCGCTCGCACGCCTCGGCATCGCTCTCCGGTCGTCTCGCGGCGATGCACGCGCGGTGAACAAACATCGTCGCCGCGTCCATCGATCGCGAGGGGGTCGGACGCACCCATCGTCCCACGAGCGTCTCGGAAAGGCGGATCCCTCGATCGAGCGATCGGGCGCGAGGTCACGCGCGACCGACGACGAGGGATCGGGGTTTTCAAAGTCGGACATATGATACATACTCTATTACACACAAATCCTATGTATTGTATATGTAAAATATCGGACGCGCGGGACGTCGTGCGAGACGAAACCGTGGGTCGAATCATAACTCGACCGTCACGACGCCGCCCGCGCCGTCGTCGACGCGCGCGCGCCTCGACGCCTCGACGTCGCGCGCGCGGACGTCCAGCGATGGCGATCAGGGATAAGATCTTCGCGTTCGCCAAGGGCATGCGCGGGAGGGCGAAGAACTGCGCGAAGATCGCTCGAAATCGAGTCGAAAAGGCGTGGCAGTACCAATACCGCGATCGACGCACGAAGAAGAGAAACGCCCGGGCGTTGTGGATCACGCGAATCAACGCCGCGACGCGAGAGCACGGGTTGAAGTATAACGAGTTCGTCCACGGGTTGGGACGAGAGAACGTGTGCGTGGATCGGAAGATCTTGGCCGAGCTCGCGGTGAACGAACCGCTGAGTTTCAGGGCGTTGGTGGAGCGCGTGAAGACGATGCGCGGGATCGAATAGAGCGACGATGAGAGAACGGTTGTATGGATTAGTGTGTAGTGGAATAGAAAGTAGGTGTACGCGACGTGGCCGTCGTCTGCGAACGCGTCCGGTGAAAATTTCCGCTGGGGTTTTTATTAACGAAGCGCGCGGCGTGCGAAACCTCCGACCGAGGCGCGTCGCGGTCGGGCTTAGAATTCCTCCGCGAACGGCGATCCGAACGAGTAATACGCGTTGATCGCGAGCATCAATCGCTTAATCATAGCCTTGAGCGCCGAGTTCGCGCTCTCGTCCGCCGGCAACGGTCGACTGATGATAAAAAAGCGTCCGTCGATGAACTTATCCTTCCCATCCTTGTTCATCTTTTCGATCCCCCCCTCCTTGGTCGGCACGATCGTGTCCCACACCTGCACCTTCTCATCATCCATCTGCGCGATCAACTGCGCGATCTCAACCTCCTTCCCATCCCGGAAATCAAACACTCGAACCAAGATTCCATTCGTATCGCCGTTTTCGCCCTCGTTGATGCAATCGACAACCATGCGCTTCCCGTACGACTTCACCCCCCCCTGTTCGAACTCACTCGCGGCCCATCGGTACATTTGTTTCACGAAATCGATTCGCGGCAGGTGCGGGGGGATCTCCGCCTTGCACAGCTCCTGCGTCTCCGTCGACGCCCCCGCGCGCGTCCCTCGACGTCCACTCGCGCGTCGCGTCCATCCACCACGCGCGCGCGCGACGTTGGCCACCGCGCGCGCGGCGATCGCATCGACCGCCATCCGTCTCGCCGTCGGTGCGCGGTGCGCGGGCGTGCGAGCGCGCGTCGGTGCGCGGCGTCGTGCGGGGCGCCGCCGCCGCGATCGCGATCGAGGGACGTCGAGGGGGGGGTCGACACGGGGTCGTGACTCGTGAACTCGTGCCTCGTGACCTCGTGCCTCGTCACCGGGACCATCGGTGTGTGTTTTGTAGAGACGACCGAGGGGTTTGTTCCTTTCGACCGATGCGAGACCCGATCGCGCGCCCGACGCACACGCGCGCGCGCGCGGACGAGCGCGACGACGACGAACGCGACGCGGGCGATCGACGCGGGCGACGCCGCGCGCGCGCGGACGTCGAGCGAGAGCGAACGCGAGGGCGAGGTGGACGCGATCGATTTCGCATCGGGCGAGACGCGAGCGATGAGCGCCGAGGGGAACGCGCACAAGCGATGCGCGGCGCCGGGAATGCGCGCGTACCTGTGGCGACGACGACGGAATCTCACGGCGAGTCAGCACCGGACGATCGTGCTCTTGGTGACGTTCGCGTCGTACGCGATGTATCACGCGAGCCGCAAGCCGCCGAGCATCGTGAAGAGCGTGTTGAACCCGGACGCGGAGTCGAGGGCGAGCGGCGCGCGAGGGTGGGCGCCGTTCGATGGGGACGATGGAACGCGCGTGATCGGGACGTGTGATTTTGCTTTTTTGGCGAGTTACTCGGTCGGGATGTTTTTCAGCGGACACATTGGCGATCGGATGGATTTGAGAAAGTTTCTGACGTTTGGGATGCTCATGAGTGGGCTCTGGGTGTCGCTGTTCGGGATGGGATATTATTGGAACGTGCACAGCGTCGGATACTACGTCGTGGTGCAGATGGTTGCGGGAGCGATGCAGTCCACGGGGTGGCCGTCGGTGGTGAGCGTCATGGGTAATTGGTTCGGCAAGGGAAAACGAGGCCTCATCATGGGCGTTTGGAACGCGCACACGTCGGTGGGGAACATGCTCGGGAGCATTCTCGCGTCGATGGCGCTTCGAAGCTCGAATTGGGGGATGAGTTTCATCGTTCCGGGCGTCATGATTATGCTGTGCGGTTTATTGGTTTGGAATTTTCTCGTCGTCTCGCCTGAGGACGTGGGGCTGCCGCCCGCGAACGCGCCGAGCGTGTCATCGAACGTTGAAGACGAAAGTGATGAGGAGTCTGTGGCGCTTCGACGGTTGATCAACAGTGATGGATCGTCGCGAGCGGATCGCGAGAAGCCAGTCGGTTTCGCTGCGGCGCTGAAGATTCCGGGCGTTATCACGTTTTCTCTCTGTCTCTTCTTCACCAAGCTCGTCGCGTACACGTTCCTTTATTGGTTGCCGTTCTACATTGAACGAACTGAGATTAATGGGCAGTACCTGAGCGCGGCGAAGGCGGGCGAACTGAGCGTCATCTTTGACCTCGGCGGTATCGTGGGCGGCATCCTCGCCGGGTACATCAGCGACAGGTACAACGCCCGCTCCATGACCGCTGCCGCCTTCGTCTACCTCTCCATCCCGGTCCTGTACATGTATCGCGAGTTCGGGTCGCGATCGATGTTTACCAATCTCATCCTCATGGCGTTCAGCGGCATGTTAGTCAATGGACCATACGCCCTCATCACCACCGCCGTGAGCGCGGATTTGGGCACGCACGAAAGCCTCAAGGGCAACGCTCGTGCGCTCGCCACCGTCACCGCCATCATCGACGGCACTGGTTCTTTCGGTGCCGCCATCGGCCCCATGCTCACCGGCTACATCACCTCCATCTCCGAGGACTGGAACCACGTCTTCTACATGCTCTACATCGCCGACTTGTGCGCGGGTCTGCTCCTGACGCGTCTCATCTTCAAAGAGGCCCGTGCCCTACTCGCGGGCGCGTTGTAACAATCAAAGAGAAGCCTTGTGATTCTATCTCGGCGATGCCGCGCATCGCATCGTCCCGTCTCACGCGTGCGCCTCGACGTCTTTCCACTCCGACGCTCCGCAGTCTCGCGTCAAACCCCACTCTTCCTCACACGTCGCCTCGGCGCGCACTCGAGATGTCCGCCGCGCGCGGTGCTCTCCTGCGCCTCGGCGCGAGAATGCGCTTGGCGAACGCCGGCGCGGGGTTCAATCGCGCGCGCGGTTACGGTGCGTCGACGAGTGCGCGCGACGAAGCGATCCGAGCGATCGTTGCGTTCGAGCGAAGATTCGCGCAACACAAGCCGACTGACGACGATACGTTCGACTCACAGCGAGCGGAAATGGGCACGGTGTGACGCACGAGGGCGTGACCTTGCACGAGGCGAGCACGGCGCACAAGGCGCTGGGAACGGGGTTCGGGGCGCTCATGTGGTTTTGGGTGTTTTATCGATTTTATCACGACGGCGATACGCTGATCTACGGACACGCCCCGCACTTCGAGCACGATGATCACGACGACGAGCACGGGCACTGAGCGACGCGCACGATGTAAGGACATCGTTTGTAATATGGTAGAGTCTATACACAGTTTGTTTGAGATTGCAGCTATGATCGCTTAGTAAAAGTTGTTGTACGTGCTCGTTCTGAACCACAGGTAGTCCGGCAGGAACTGCGTCGGACCGATGGCGGCGATAGCTAACTCTTGATCGCGGATGTACTTCCACGCCGTCGCCTTGACGGTTTCGACGTTGACAGCGTCGATGCGCGCGAACAATTCGGCGCGAGACATGCGCTTGCCGTACGTCAGGAGCTGCCGGCCGACCTCCTCGGCCAGCGCGCTGGTGCCGGACTCGGCGTGCAGCGACAGCGAAGACTTGAGCGCTTCCTTGGCTCGCAACACGTCGCTCTCTTCGGGGCCATAAATGAGGTTTTGGAATTCGCGCATCACCGCAAAGGCGGTGTCGTCGAGACCGTCGAGGTTGTCAGAAGAGACGTACACGCCGAACAGGCCTGTGTCGGCGTAGTTGGTGTTGAAAGCCATGAAAGATTTGCCGAGTTCGTTGGCGTTGAACGCTTGGGCGAGCGGGGACATCATGTCGCCCGCCCCGATGGCGTGCTTATCCCAGCTCCCGAGCATGGCTTGCATGACCATGAGCGGGACGGCGTCTGGAGAGGTCCAGGACGCACCCTTGAACGCCACGGCGAAGTGGCACGTGGTCATGTCGTCATCGCGAATGCGAACTTCGCTGCCGGTGAAGTGACCCGGGTTCTTAGACACTAAAGCCTCGGTGCTCGCGCCCTCCGTCGGGAGACCGGCGAAGGACGACTCGGCGAGCTTCACGAGCTCATCGTGGTTCACAGCGCCCGTGCCGACGAGAACCATGCGCGGAGCGGTGTAGTGCGTCTTAATGTACGTCTGCAAGTCTTCTTGCGTCACCGAGCGCACGCACTTGTCCGAGCCGAGGATGGTCGTCCCGAGCGACGTTTGCTGGAACGCCGTCGCGTGCAAGTGGTCAAAGAGAACCTCCTCCATGTCCTTCTCCACCTCTTCCATCTCGCGAAGGATCACACCTCGCTCGCGCTCGATTTGCGACTTCTCAAGCGCCGAGTTCTGCAAGATGTCGCTCAAGATGTCCACCGCCGCGCCGACGTCCTTCTTCAGAACCTTGGCGTAGTACGTCGTCTGCTCGCGGCTCGTGTACGCGTTCAAGTGACCGCCCATGTTCTCAATCTCTTCCTCCAATCCCGCCGCCGTGCGCGCCTTCGTACCCTTGAACGCCATGTGTTCCAAGAAGTGCGCCGTACCGTTCGTCGTCGCGTCCTCGTATCGCGACCCGGCGTCGATCCACACCCCGACCGTCGCCGTCTCCGCGTGCGGGATCGTCTCCGTCGCCACCCGAAGCCCATTCTTCAGAGTCGTCACCTACATCATCATCAAAACACTCCCTCGTCAGTCACCCGCACCCCGCACCGAGCATCGTTCGTTCCGCCGTTCATCCGTCGCCCGCGCCTTCGCGCCTTCGAAACCCCTCCGCCCATCCATCCATCCATCCATCGCCCGTCTCTCCCTCACCCGTCACCGCGGCATCGCGAGCCCCCCCCCCCGATCACGCTCCGCACGCACCTTCGTATCGTCGTCGG